ACAAAGGAGTTATTTCCTTTTAAAACACTGGACCTGGACTGGTTTTGCTATTACAGTACACAGGAAACTTTTCAGACGTGATTAAGTTTTAATCAAATGCTAGCATCAGTCCCTCCCATTTCCAAGTTTTAAGTGACATTCTAGAATGCCTAGGGCTGGAAGTGTGATGTGGGCTACTGGAGTTAGTGGAAATAGATACAGAGTCTTTTTTTTCCTGTGGTATATTCTTGTGCCAGTCCATATTACAAGAAGCCACTAACTCAAAAGTCAGTTGCTTTGGAGTTTCTGAAATAGATTAAAGTTACAGTGAGAATCCATAACTGGCTTTACTGCCTGAGCACTGCAGCAGAACTCAAAAGGTGCACTTCATGTCTCTCTGCTGTCTAAACAGAAGGCTGGTTTGTGGGCATGAGACACAACGGGTTTTTTGGGTTTTTTGCAGTGTGTCACCAAGACTATGGGACCCCATTCCATGGGAGGCCTGCTTGACTCCTTCTCTGTTCACCTTTTGGCAGGCAGCTGAGACATGCCTTTTTCAGCAGGCTGCTTCTTATAATACGGAACTAGGCTCCCCTCATTGAAACTGGCTGACTGATCATCGGTTTTAATTTTCTGTGTTAGTCTGACCTACAGTTGTTTATACCGTTTGCTGACTTTTAAATGGCATTTAATAGAAACATGTATAAATGCCATAAATAAATAAATAAATAACCAATCACCAAATTAATCTGGAGATTTCTGCATCCAAAACAATATGTGGTTGTACAAATTATCACACACACAAGCAAATATTTTACTTGATGTTCCTTCAGATTTGCCCATCTGACATGAACTTTCAGAGAGGTGGATTCCTGGATAGTACTGTTTATCTTATTGTTCCATTAAACACCTACCTTTTCAATATGCTTGCAAACGTTCTTACCCATATACTCTTGAAAACGTTAGAGAAGGCAACCAGTTCAGATAAGATACAAAACAGATGAACATTTGTCCATTTTGCACACACAAACTCAAACCAGATTTGTGTTGTGATTCTGAAATGTTCTTTTCCTTCTTATGGAAAACCAGGAGAGGAAACGGAAATGCCAAAGTTAGCAGAAAGCCTACAGTTCTCATGGTTGGATAGGAAGCAGATGTGGTTAAAAAAATAAAAATAAAGGAGAGGCTTTTCTCACAAGAGATTCTTCCAGCATAAACGTATGGACTTACCAATGCAATCTTTTATTCTGGTTGTGTTAAGGCCCATTCAAACAAACAGGAATTACTCAGGAAAGTCTGAAATTCTACAAAGCTGTCTGAAGTTCTCAAAGTATTTTAACAGACTGAAATCATGTACACAGCCAATTTAGGGACAAACTAGATTAGATGTGGGGAATGGGGGGGGGTTGGGTATCTCAATAACTTTTTCTTTCCTTAAACTGCTTGGGCATGGATGGGCCCTGCTCGCCACAACATCCTTTCTTATTTTAAAAACTTTTTTATAGTCCAGGGTTGGCTATCCATGCATATACAGTCATATCTCGGATTGCGATCGCTGCGGGTTGTGCATTTTCGGGTTACGGACGCGCTGAACCCAAAAGTACCGGAACGGGCTACTTCCAAGTTCGGTGCTCGCACATGCGCAGAAGCGCTGAATCGCATCACGCACGTGTGCCAATGTGGTGCTATAGGTTGTGAACGCTGCGGGTTGTGTACGTGCCTCCCGCACGGATCACGTCCGCAACCCAAGGTTCCACTGTACAGAATGTGGTTACAGATGCTCATTTTATTATTTTTTACTTTAACACATATATTACCCTTCCCCCCAATAATACAGTGCTTGTTCCTAAGTAAACGTGTTTGGCATCAGGGCAGCAGAAGCATCCCCTGTTTTATTCTTGTAGTCATAAGTGAGTTTAAAGTGTTGAAACTGCACATGCTCAGTATATTTCTTTTTCTAGCAAGGTTGATGTCACAGCCACATCCCAACTGCCAGGGTCCCATGCCACTTGCAGAAGGGAGATTTGGCCACAACAAAGTGTACCCCTCTGCTTGCGCACCCCGCCCCACCCCTTGCCCCCTATGAGATATCCACCACCAGGTAAGAGCTAAATTGCTAGAAGAAGGATTTTGATAAGCTGGAATGTGCCAGAGGAAGGCAGCCAAGATGATCAAGGGTCTGGGAACCAAGCTTTACGAAGAATGGTTGAGGGAGTTGGATATGTTTAGCCCAGAGGAGACTGAGAAAAGATATGAGAGCCATCTTCAAATATCTCAAGGGCTTTCACGTGGAAGATAAAACAAACTTGTTTTCTCCTGCTCTGGTGAGTAGGACTTGAACCAATGGCTTCAAGGTACAAGAAAGGAGATTCTGACTAAACATCAGGAAGAACTTTCTGACGGTAAGAGCTGTGAGATCATGTTCTTTCAGGAAACAGTTAACTTATTAATGATTATACTAAGTCTAGTGGATGTTTAAGGCTTCTAAACAAGGTAGCAAAGACACAGCTTCTTTTAAATGTCAGTTGCTTACTTCAGTTATTACTCCTCAGTTATATGTTACAGGTTTCTAGACTAGATAGTAAATGCTTAGCTTATTTCCAGTTATTTCACTTCAGTTTCTTAAACTTATTTACAACAATGTTACAGCTTAATACTTTGGTTCTTACGCAACGCGATACGTTTTGTCAGATACCCAACCTTTTGACAATCACACTCCTGAGGTACTCCAAATACAGTGGTACCTTGGGTTACAGACGCTTCAGGTTACAGATTCCGCTAACCCAGAAATAGTACCTTGGATTAAGAACTTTTCTTCAGGATGAGAACAGAAATAGCGCAGCAGCAGGAGGCCCCATTAGCTAAAGTGGTGCTTCAGGTTAAGAACAGTTTCAGGTTAAGAACGGACCTCCAGAATGAATTAAGTTCTTAACCCAAGGTACCACCGTAGTACAACAGACCTAAAGGATCCCCACACCATTCTGAACTGGTATGGATGTCTTCTCTTTCTAGAAGATCTTTCCCCTCCTGACTGATATGAGACCCAAGGAGACAGTGTCCTCACAGCTTCTACCTCTGCTTGCTCAAACTCAGCCTTCCAGTTATCTGCTGTCTGAATACACTCACAAGACACTAAACACTGTCCTTCACATTAAGCTCAATGCTTCCTTTCTCTAGCTGTATATGTTTCCTCAGCATGGGTGTTCCACACAGACCAGAATCAACTCTCTAATTCTTTAGCTCACTTTCTCTCCCTCCTGCTCTCTCTTCAACCATCTCCCCATCTGAGCCCTCCCTTAGAAACAGCTCTTTTTATTCTCCCCCCCCCAAAAAAAATGATGGCACCACCCCTTCTGGCTGACTGTCTTGGTAGCCAATCAGGGAGAGGCTCTGGCCCTTTGGTGGAATTCCAAGGCTCTGCACCACCAGACTCTGGTCTTAGCTCAGCTGTCTGTCACAGTTGGCAAATTGGGTTTTTCTTTGAAGAACTTTCTGAAATGTTGTGGATCAACACCTAATCACTACTGTTAAGATCAACATAACATCTCATGTGAGAATTTCCCATGCAAAGCCCCTTTTTAGAAATCAAAGAAAGCCCATGTTTTCAATGCTATGTCAAATTACATATTATTACAGGAACCAGACCCAAATCTAACCTTTGAACCAGCATGGGGGAAGTTCCCATTTCAAAGAGAGCTTTCGTAAGACGTGACAACAATGTGCACTGTGTCCCCAGCTGGCAAAATGTTGGCAGCCATTCAGAAACCCTTGTTAACAATGATGCTTTTTTAAATAGATATATCTATACAGTGTCTCAACACACTTGTTTGAACAGCATTTCAAATCTAAAGCACAATCTTCATGAATATATAAGATGTTCCAGATGTTCCAGCATCCCAGGCCATGCATTTTAACCAAGTTTATTCTGCATTTATATTTTGCCGTGCAGAAAGGGCATGTTGATTAGACTTATCAGTGAAGTTGTTGTTATATTTTATGTTATTGTTATATTTTATTGCCACTTCCTTCTATATAGCCTTTTCTATTAAATAAATAGCTTTTTGTGCTCTTTATTACCAGTGTTTTCAAGGCTGTTTTAAATACATTGAGGACAGTGTCTGAAATCTTTGCCATATTTACTTTGTTCCAGAAGTACTTGATGAGGCTGGGAAGGTATTTGCATGGGTATACACTTGAGAGAAAGGCTAGAGATACTCAAATACACTGATTTCAATGAGCACTTTATTGATACTATTGTAGCTTCCACTGACAAATCACTTTGAGACCTGGATCCTAAGATCACAAAAAATGTGCAGTGACTCCGAGCCAGAAGGGATCCTGTGAGCAGAGGGATGTGCATGCTGGACAAAAGATAATACGGGGCATATACCGTATTTTTCGCTCTATAAGACGCACCAGACCACAAGACGCACCTAGTTTTTGGAGGAGGAAAACAAGGAAAAAAATATTCTGAATCCCAGAAGCCAGAACATGAAGAGGGATCGCTGCACAGCGAAAGCAGCGATCCCTCTTGTTGTTCTGGCTTCTGGGATACCTGCGCAGCCTGCATTCGCTCCATAAGACGCACACACATTTCCCCTTACTTTTTAGGAGGGAAAAAGTGAGTCTTATAGTAATTCAGTTCACTGAGAATCTCAGCTTTCATTTTAAGAAGATCCCACTTCTAAGTCCATCTTTGTGACTGTGAAGATATGCTTGCAGAGGAGTGTGGCCATGGCCAGCAGCCAGAGGAGTTGATAAAAAGACTTCCAAATGCTGGGGGCAGGCTGAGTTCCAGCATGACTCCTTAATTTACCGCTTGTTCCTAATGTAGATCTTCACTCACCTCTTCTTCCCTGGCAGGGAGGGGGGCACCATTTTTTGATTCACCTCAGCTGTGCCTCAGGTGCCAAAATGTCTTGAACCAGCCCTGTCATAACGTATTAGAATCATAGAATTGTAGAGCTAGAAGGGACCACAAGGGTCATCTAGTCCAACCCTGTGCAATCCAGGAATCTTTTTGCCCAATGTGGAGTTTGAACCCACAACCCTGCAATTGAGAGTCTCTTGCTCTACCGACTGAGTTTAATTACGCACTATCTACAAACTGTAGGTTGTATTGGAGAGTCATGCTATATCCAGCAGAGAAAATATATATCCAGCAAAATGTGTATGATGCTCTGAGTGTGGTTTTGTGGCACATGTGTGTGTTTTAAACATGAATCAGCCATTAATGAAGACATATGGACTAATGAGCTGGAATTCTGAATATTCCTGATCGTAGAAACCTTCAGCATTGCTGAAGACATATTTCTAATTTCAGTGCCGAACAAAACATCTCTGATACCCTTATCCACCCCTTCTTTGCAAAATTCCACAAATTCCTCAAGCTCCCTAGAAAACCTGATGACAAACCATGCCTGCATTTGAATTCATTTGTAAAAAATGCACTGACTTCATTCCAAGGTCTCTGTTTTGACTGGCTTGGGTTGGAGCTGCAGTTTTATTTGGGAAGAACCATAGCTCAGGGCAAAGCACATGCCTTCTATGCTCAGAGTCCCAGGTAGTAAAAAGCTCAGGAAAAAACTTGCCACTGTGCCACTGCCTATCTAAATTGATAATATTGAGTAAGAAGGCTCATAATCTGACTCAGTAGAAGGCAGCTTCATAGTAGTTTTCATTTTTAAAAAATAACTGCCCTTCCCCCAGTGTGTGTGTATATGATGATCAGACATGTTTCTAATAGAATAAATTTCCCCTCAAAGAAAGATTTTGTCAGACTTGAGAAGTCTGTGTGTTCCTCTGACAGTGTTTTAAGCAAAATAGACTGCTTTTTTGGTATAGTGTGAATTAACTATTGACCTTAGGCATCTGCTGAGACTTTAAAATCTACCAGATGATTCTTATTTTAGAGCCAAGTCTTTGTGGGCAGTGGGGCTGAGTCATCCAGGAATGCTAGAATTGCATTTTCCCTTTAACCTGTTCCTTTTCCCTCTCAAAAGAGGTGCAAAAAGTTTCCAGCTCTAATTAGCCCTGGGAATATCCCCAAATTCAAAATGCCCTCCTTTAGTCAGTGACCTCTGCCCTCTAAGTTCAATGCACTGTCAGACACATGCATGGAACAAACCATTTTCCTTAGCATTGTAAACCATACTGAGGCTGGGTAACTTCCCTAAATGCATCACCAGAATAATATAGGATGCAATTATTTGCAAGAAATATATTACTAGAAAAATACATTGCTCGGCTATTCACTGGATTAGCTCTCTCCAGACATTTAAAGAAAGAAAACTATTTTGTAATAGGAAAATTATTTTTATATCTCTGATCTCACTTGCTGTTTTCTCCCCTTCTATTCTGCTGATAATTTCCACATTTTTTTATGAAGAGCAATTCCAGACTCTATTATGTTCCATGCTCAGACATTCTCGTAGGAAATGAAAAGCTGCCCTAACCTTCCTTCCTGCTCATAAAGTCCTATGCAAGGTGGATAAGACCAGAGAGTCTTCTAACTTATGGTACCTTTTAAACCATTTCGCATAAGCCCCTTGGGCAAAAGGAGGCAAAACTATATTTCAAATCCAGATTCAGATATTTTTCATGGAGCATTTCTCCTGGCAATTACAGAGCTGACCCCATGAGCATAGTAAGAGATAGGCTGAATAATGTGGTATTATCAAACTTGGTTAGTAGCGAGAATGGCAAGAGGTATAAACATTTAAATCAGTATTGCCCAAATACTGGAATGTCCCATTTGGGGCAGCCTCCTCAGAAACATCCATTTTTTCCTTAAGTTAGTGGCTTCCAAGCAGTGGTGCTGGTGAAATACAAAGTTCCTGGGTACATCAGTGATAGTGGGGAAGCTTTCCTGAAAGACAACATGTCCCCCATGGCTGATTTTCTGTGCTAACAGCAAAACCAACAAGCATTCCTTCTAACTTCTCGTCTATGACAGCATTCTCCAAAGAATTCAAGAAAGTGGGACGTTCATGTTGTGATTAAGATTGCAATTCTAAACAGAATTATTGGGAAATAAGTCATACTGAACACAGCAAATTTTACTTCTGAGTAGACACAAAACCAGGCTGTGTATGTCAACTGCCCTGGAGTAAACAATACCTCAAAAATATTAGTCATAACTGATAAATTACTATTGTGTTTTCATCTTTTTTTTAATACCAGGACTGGTATGAAGCGGCCTAAGACTCAGTACTGAGTTTCAGCATACTGGACCAAAACAGTCACAACTTGTGAAACAGTTCCATTCAGTTAATATGTCTTTTTCTAAGAGAGCAATTTTGACTACTGCCCCTGGAATGAAGTTTGAACCTGGGGGTCTCTTCGCACACAACATTGTTGCAGGTGTATGCCTGAAACAATTGCCATTCTAATATTTGTCCATAAGGTAGCCAGATGTGGAAGAGGAAAGCAGCGCATGTACCACTGATAGTCGTGCAGAAACAAGACTATCAGCAGGATAGCTTGTCATGCAATACAATATTAATAGTATATTAGAACCTTTGCAATTACAAACTGTAACTACAGTTATAAAGATTGTCACTATAACCTTTCATATAAATGGTGTGAAACCTTTAATAAAGGTTAAAAGTTTTGTGTCCATATTCTGTACTAGCTGCAGGTTCCAAACCATCTTTCCATGCAACAAATTGCAGTAGCCTGAGAAGTTGCCAGAGCATGATGACTATAGGCAGGCTAGCCCTCCCCAGGCAATGCCATAGTTGGTGTACCCGTCTCAGCTGATAAGGCTCATCATGTCACTGAAAACAACTGAACCTCCAGTTACAAAGCTGGATCAAGGAACAACCCCCACAGCGAGCCTGATTCTTCCATCTACAGCAGGTTGAACACTATCTCTTTAATCACAGGAAGCATCTGCCCACTGAACGTCTGTCTTGTCGCGACTGAGCTTCAGTTCATAATTATTAGTCATCATCTAGCCCAGGGGTCAGCAAGGTTTATCTTGCCTGGGCCAGATTGGTCCCACGGATTTCCAGGGGACACAATTTCCGATGCCACGGAAGCAAGTCCCCGTGCTGCGCTGCATAGGCACAGCACGCGAGTGGGTGGCTCAGTTTGGGGGTGGCTTGTGGGCCGGTCAAACAACCTCCACAGGCCGCTTCCGGCCCATGGGACTTAGGTTGGTGAGACCTATTCTAGCCCATTACCAAGTACAGGCACTGATTTGGCACTTCTTCCATGCCACCTGATTTAGATGGCAAAAAGAATGAGATTGGGAAAGAGAATACTGATGACACCCCACTCAAATCCCTGAGGGAACTCTCCCAGTGGTTCATATACATATTTGAAAAGTGAACCCAGAGCACACCTGTCAAAGAGTCAAGTAGAAATCCACAAGGATCCATTTCCTTTTTTTATTATTTACAATATGTGTAATATGCCACCCAGCAACAGCATCTCTGGCAGCTTGCAACAGTAAAACATTAAAATACAGTAACCACCAATAAAGCAAAAAAGGAAAAGGAAAAAATAGGAGCAGCGGAAAGAAATACAGCATCACTAAGAGCAGATCTAAAATTAAGCAGAGGGCATTCCCTAACCTCCCAGAACCACCATCAGAACTCTCTGCGGTAGCCAAAGCTATAAAATGAACCCCATACCCCCTGAGGTCACTTGTGCCTGTAATGACAATGGTGGATCAATCAACACCCTTAAACTGCAAAACCTGATTATTTAAGGGGAGTGCAACCCTCCCCGCCCCCCCAGTACCAGTAGAACACCTGAGCAGACAAACCACCCAACTGACGTACCTGTGTCATGTCTGGGGTGAGCTTTAGTCATTTATTTACCCTCATCCAGTTTATTACTGTGGCCACCACCCCTCCTAATCTGATGGAAAACAGAGAGTTCATATCCCTGGATGACCTCTCCCAGCAATGTTAAATCTTAAGCAACATGGGGGAAAGAACAGAATTCTTTGAGACCCCATAGCATAATTGCTATGGAAATAAATTCATTATGTAATTAAAAGCTCCCAGATCACTACCCACATTAGAGGCTACATGTTTTGTCTCTGAATGTTTGTGCCCTGGCCTCACTGTTCTGCCAGTGTCTTCTTCCCTCCAGTCTAGGTCAGAGATGCCCAAATATGCTCCAACCCTCATAATTCATCACATCACATGACATGGCGCATGCCCATCAACTTTGGGGGAAGCCCCCTCAAATATTTTATGGGGGGTGGGGTTGAAGGGACCTCAGCTCCTATGTGTCTCTTTGCTGGGAATGATTGAACGATTTGCCTCCTTTCAGGACTCAGAAACACAGGAGTGAGTATCTCTGAATTCATGCTGTGTTCTTACACTGTAGGTGTGTGACCATGAGAACACAAGAAAAGCTCTTTTGAATCAGACCAAAGGCCCATCCCTTCCAGCACCCAGCTGTGAGAAAACCGATGCTTATGCAAAGTCCAGAAACACGACATGAAGCCCTGCTTTTGGGGTGTAACAGTGAAGTATGCCTTCCATTTTAATTCAGGGAGGGAGGAGAAGAGTGTCTTAGTGAAACGAAGTCCTACCAGTGAAATCACAGGAATTTGAAGCATTACAGTGCTGCAGGAGAACAGGAAACAAATCACTCTTTGATGGGGCATGGCACTAAATGAATTTATGGACTGATCTGACTCCCACTGAAATAATTTAAGTTTTCCTGCAGATAATAACAACAGCAGGATCAGATGCTGTAACAGCTTGGATTATTGTTAACAGCTAACAGTGTGCTTCTGGTAACAGGGGTATTTAAAGGTTTACTATTTTAACAACATCCTTTCTCTTTCATTTATGTTTCAAATAAACAGATGCAGTCAGGCTGACACCTAAAGAAAAAGGAAACTGATGTCAGTGTGGCAGTTATTAGCGTACCACTAAATTTAGGATTCACCTCTGGCGTAATTTTGCTAAGGGTAAAATTTGCTTCAGCCACCCCCCAGCCCACCCCACCCTGCTTTTCTAAATTACTTTCACCATAAAATGGACCACACAAGCTTTGCTTTTCTGAAGCTCTTAATCAGGATTTTTAAAAAGGCTTATATGGCTTCAACGAGAAAGAATGCTTTGGGAT